TTTTATGATAAACACTGAATAATCAGTAATGTAATTTATTTAATTTATTTTAGATGTAGATTATATACTATGTATAACTTGAATTATACACCAACAACTTTGGGGGTACAAAGTTGAAGAGAAATTATATCTGGGGGTACGCGAACAAAAAAGGTTGAATACCACTGGTCTAACGGAACTAAATTACATCTCACGTTCTTCGGAATGTTCAACTGTAGAATTATTACCCGCTACAGAAAATTTGTTTTTAAACCTACATCTTTCGTGAAAGTTACAACTTTAGTGGAAGCATGGTAGGTACTTAAATAATGCGCAGAATACTTGATCGACGTGGTAGTATCTGCTCAACCGCTGAGTCATCCTTTAGTCAAGTTTCTACAATTCCAAAATCATTTTAAATAGTTTCAGACCTACCACAGAATTGGACATTGATAATCGATATAATGTATATTATATTATAAAGGAGCTTAAATAGATGCCACGTTTCAGGATTTAAATTTCCGAAACCAAAGTGATTTCTAATGTCAAATGAAGCAAGAACTGAAGAGGATTAGAAAGCTGTATGCTAATTAAGGCACTATAAAATAAACAGGGCTTAATAATTAATTTTATGGAGCCCTGCTAGTCAAGAAATTTCCGCCTTTTATGGAAAACGAAGTTACGTGACTATGTTAACGAGAGTCCACAACTGGTCCCTTTCCTGAACCAGATGAATTCATTCCAAACACTCTCAGTTACTTTAATCAATAAGTACATTAATAATAAATTTTTATTTATAACTATCTATTCCTTCGAAATTGTTTCTTAATTTCAGAATTTGCAACAAAACTTTTCCACGCATTATCTTTCTACATTCCCAGCTCATCTTATCCCCTTTGAATTAATGTTATTAACAAGGGAATGCAGACTGCACAGCATTTATTTAAGAAATGAAAACGACTAAACTCAGGACATATCTTTATACAACAGTGGCATATGTGACAACTCGAACGGAGACATATGCCACTGTTGGGCAACAAGAGCTACTTACTGGTTAAAAATTTAAATATGTATTTTCTTTATGAATAATGTTATTGGTTCAGGGTCGGAAGACACGTTTTTGTGAGATGCAGGCATACAACCGCATCATATCTCAGGGCTCGTGCTAAATAGCAGTACACCTGCTCGTATCGTCGCTATGTTAACATTGTTTATGTCTGGGAATTCAAAACAAAGACATGGGATTACGTATAAAACATTTAGGTTTATGGGGTCATCGAAAAGTCACACGACACTTATTATATTTGCCAAAAAATAAATCACACTGAAATCAAGGAACACTAAGTCATGTTACATTAAGTGTCGGAAAAATCCACCGCGTACATTCATTCTTTTCCCCACGCTTTATGGAACCCTGTGAAGTAGCACTAACCTGCAGAGTCTTTACTAAAAAGCTGATGGTCGTTGAACTTCACATAAAGCTATATCATGATCATAAGAACCGAGCACTGGACCATGTCTTGAGCTAAATGTACACAGTTCATACCCTCACACTTATTTTTCTTGTCATCTATATTTAGGTCTCGCAAGTGGTCGCTTTACTTCACGTTTGCCGGAAAGAATTAATTTTCTCATGTCTGCCAGGCGTTCTTCACAGCTTTCTATTCTCAGACTCATTCAGTATTTACAACCAATCAGCTAAATTAGCGATAGTAATATTCCAAATACAAGAAACGTGTCTTAATTCAGGTATAGCAAGCTACGAGGTCACACGACATTCTGGTGGCAAAGGAGGTAGGCTTTATTAAACGAGAAGACTTTCCTTGATCCTCAGACAGAGTTGTAAAATTTTAAAGAAAAGTAGCGTCTAATGGAAAATACCTGTAGGAAGTGAGGCGTCACATTTACGAGGCGCCTAACCACAGGCTGAAATCTGAATTTAACTCTCACAGGAAAGAGAAAGGAAAAACTGTTTCTTTCTTATCTGATACAAAGTTCGTTGTACAAAATAAAATTTGCAGTGGGGGGTTAAAATTTTTTTATGGGTTTCTGAATTTAAATTTTTTCCCCGCATAATAATTTAGTATCCAACATGAACACGGCCAATAAATGTCTGTCTGTAGACTACTTCCTTATAAAAAGTTCTTTGACGTTATGCACAAAATGAAAGAATAGAGGGATAGTCTTTCCTTCTGTCTGTCCGCATGACTAAAATCCAAAACAGCTGGACGGATTCAGATGTGTTAAGAGTAATGTACGCCACGATGTAGCCGACTAGAACCGTATCATTCTGCTATTCATTTATTGTGATATGGGATGTGATGTTACATGTAAGTCAATAATTAATATATCGAATTCTTGGTCTTCCTGCATGTCTTTTTTCACACACACAGTTCACTTGATTCGATCAATAAAATCTTCTCCGGCAATCAACCGACGTTTCGGGAACCAAAGCTGTTCCCATCAGAAGGGTTCTGATGTGACTGGATACCTCGGAAGTACTTGTGCTCGCCGCGAAAGTCTCAAATCCTATAACATGTTTCGAATTAATATGGACATCTTCAAGTTCAATTTCTCGCTTCTTTGTCATTGCACTAAGGATCGTTCCCCAATGTCCTGAAATAACGATCATCGACATGGGTGCTACAACCCAGGGTGGGTCTGGGCCTACTCAACACAACGCCTTCGTCGGGAACGGTCAGGGGCGATGTTTTTTCAATTTCTAATACCGATGTTATGGAAATCCTTTTCAAGCCCATAAATACATCGAAATTTGGGTCCTCCACGTCTTCTTGTACTATCAGATTTTTCTAGCATCAATTTCATTTCGGGCCCTTCATCATTCGTTCTGAGCAGGTCCTGCCTACTTCATTCTGGAAATTTTGGCTTTTTGGATATTTCAACATCATGGCTTATGGTTATGTCTCTTCCTCCATATTTCATTCCAGAAATAACGATAAAATCATATATTAAAATGTTTTAAAAACTACTAAACTAAATTAAATCGTTGCCAAACACTAACCTCACACATTGGCATCCAAATATAATTAACAATTGCAGAATGAAAACAACGCAGTCAAACAAATGTCTGCTTATTCGTCTACTATGGACTTATATACATACGACCCATTAACACGGATTTTTGTGGTAACGCTCAACAACGGTTACCCGAAACAGCGTAATTTTGCAGCTATCATACGTGTGATCACATAGCATTTACTTTTCCGGTTATCAGGTCAAAATTTCCTTCCGAATGAGCGGTCATACACTCTCGTACAAGCTTCCGGTGACTCAAAAATTCTATTGCCATTTTCCTCCCTTTTTTTTTTAATCCCCACTACATGCCTATGTAGGCGTTTGGGGTGAGTGGAGGTATAGCTCCTACTCATTCTTGACCTCAGCACTAGATGGGGGTGAGTGGTCAGCATCATGCCCCGGCCGTGCTTTGCCCCCGGGAAAGGACCCCGGTACCCATTGGACAAGAGGCTGGGTGGGCTCCAGAGCTGGTCTGGGCGCCGAGGCTAGAGGAAAATCCTCTGCCCCTGTCGGGGATCGAACCCTGATCGCCCAGCCCTTAGCTAGCCCATTACCTCTCTAAAATAATTCTGCATATCTTGGTCTACATAATATCTTGCGTTTGTTACTTGCTTCATCCGTCCCATGTGACTTACGCGTCTGTGTTACACATGTTCTTTATCATTTGGCAGTGTGATGAGGTACATTTGGAGAGATACTGTACTATTAATTGTCTAATGCTGTAGCTTTTAATAAAACTGAATACAGTGAACGAGAACGATTTGAAATGCTATTAATCCATGACAAATATGTATTGATATAATGATGCATAAAAATAATTTTATCTGTAATTTTAAGATAAGCTGATTAAAATTTGATGTAGTCAGTGTGTGTTAGAATTTTCCTTATTTTAATTTGTGTATATATATATATATATATATATATTTCTTCTTCATTCGGATTTGTCCCGCATTTGCAGGGTCGGCTTTACAAAATTATATATATTTATTTATATATATATTAAACACACTCATGCATAAAATTCCGCACCGAAACATGAAAAGAAAGGAATCTAGGAACCATTAAGTGTGCAATTTATTTAATTTCGTTTAATTACGAAATTGATTTTACTTTTTTAAACACTAAAATACTGGCAGACAGAGTTTAACCTCACAGCATATAAACTTTTCACTTTGTGGTGTATGAAAACTTTTCCGTTACGGGAACAAATATAGGCGGAGGATATCTCGGAAATCCGGAGCTTAGGAAACAGCAATGTCCCGAGTCCGTTAGGGTAAATCCACTTCTGAGCTTTACAGAAAAGGATAAAAAGCTTCTCTAAAGTTTTGCTGATTGCAGTTGTAAATGCGAGCCTGGCGGTTCAGTTACAAAGCTGAACAACAGTGGCCAATTACAGGACTTCTGACAAAGGCGAATGTAGATGAGATTGTGGATACTACGGAACGAGTGTAATTTAATAATACAAATTTATTCAAAATTTCATACGGTTGTATCCGTGCTGGGAAGCATTTTGAACTAAAAATTACTGAAATCACGAATCTTTCACACTGTACGTCGTTCATAATTTCCAGTTGAAACATTGTCTTCAGTAGCCACTTACAATAAGCGAACAACTAATTGTTATCAAACCTACAGATTAGGCTGAGTTAGCAAAATAGCTTTAAGTCTTGTATATGATAGGTACTCATTTCGAATTCGGAACAGGCCACCAGCTACTGTTTAAGTTTCTCACGTGTTTTCACAGCGATGAATGTAATCAGTGGATTTAATTGCCTATTAACTTGTAAATGATGACGACGGAAACAAAACACATTCTTTACACATCGTTCACGCACTCACAGAAACAATATGCACATATAATGAAACCAAAGGGAAAAAATTGTCCTGGCTTTTTGACGTGTGGTACTTGCAGTGCGAACGGGTTTAAAACCAGAGATTTATACATATAATAAATAAAAATTAAGTTTCAAATGGCAAAATTTATCCTAATTCAGAGAATATTTCCACTCGTAAATTTCCTGAAAGAGTCCTAATTAACCGAGCAAAAACGATAGAAATAATTAACGACTAACTACGTTGCTAAAGCAGGTTCCGGAAGTTTAGTACAGCTAGAGCTAAAGCGACTGGACATGAGCTACTTCTATGCATCTCCCATCTATAGAAACGTTATGTCCCTGAAGACGATAGCTGTCTTCTGGGTAGTTTCGCCCTGATGATGGAATCAGCGACCACCCCCGAAACATCCGTAAACTTCTACCAGACTACGGGGCGTAACAACCCAGAAGAACGACAACTTCACACTTGCCGTATGAACCTGAAAGCTTACTTTTTATCCCTAAGGTCCATTTAATATTATCCTCCCGCCTAGGTCTTTCAAGTCGTTTAATGACAAATATTCAGTACGTATTCCTTGTAGTCCACATCTTGGGCACACACCGTCAGTTGTGCCCTCGTTGATTTCAGTGTTCTGTCATCAGAGGATGGTTCCAATTAAGCGATGAGCTCCAATTTTTGAGTTTGCTGTCAACCAGGTCTGAGTACCGTAAATCCGATTGCTGCCTCCCATGAGAAATTGTGCAGTTACCTGAACTTCCCAGGAGATCGGGGCAGCCTCCGAACTTATTTTGTCTCTTGATCAAAACAAATTCTCACAGAAGATTTCGCCTATGTATCGGGCCGGTATACATTTCGTTGTTTGTAAAAAGTTCAGGGCGAGTCGATACGACCTCAGCGTTCCCCGGCGGGCTCACTCTGAGCAGGTCCGTCCTGTCACTGAGATTGCCGTTGCGAATGAAGAGTTCCACCAACGTGACGAACTCTCTTATTACTTGAAGCGACAAATATAAAAACCATACGTGCAAATTGAATTCCACTTCATGGATTGTTTGAAATGACGAGATTTGTGGATTTCACGACAATGAAGATGTCTGTGTTGGTCTTCTGCCTTGTGACGCCGTGTGGGCTTGTAGGTACACACGAGTGTTTCGGAAGACCATACTGCCCAAGTCTTCTGCAAACAAGACGTTATTTAAAGAAGCATTTTACGCGATAGAAAATATGTAGCATACTTTTGGGACTATGGATTCATGATAGTTGCAATTAAGAATGAAGAAGACAAGAAGCAGAAGAGAGGAAGATAACAGACAAGGAAAACAGAAGAGTAGAAGAATGCAAGGAACAAACGTTATTGCGAAAATTTGATATTCTCACATCGATGAGACATTAGATGTTGTTGTTCTAGGTTTGACGCCGTGTGAAATTGTAGGTAAATATCAGACTTTTAGAGGAACATTCTGTTTCCATCGTCAGGCCTGAAGACAACGTTTTTCTCCTAAACTCTGGTATCTACCCAACCAGGTCACATGGCATCACAATCTATGTAATGTACATACCTGCATTGTTCAGGAATCTCACCCGGGTAATTTTTATTAAATGTTTCACCTGCATTGTTCAGGAATCTCACCCGGGAAATTTTTATTAAATGTCTCGGAACTTTCTGCGATGAGACGAAATGATTGGTAGCAGCGAATTTCTAAGGACATGGAGGCGGTCGTGACTGATTTAAGGTGATAGTCAGCCGTTGAGACTCAGAACGGTTAGTTATTCGAATATATGCCATTGTATCAACTACTGTAGTTATGTAACATTGAATAATATTGCAAAACCTAATTTAGAGGAATGTCGCAAGGACATGACATGGTTTCTTCAAGATATCATTTTGGAATTTTTAGGAGGGAAAACTAAACAACTGTAGTCAAAGAGAAGATACCATTTGGGGTAAGATACTAAAAATAATCGTAAGAAAAGAGAGCGGAGCGCGTTCTTGCGAGGACTTCAACCAAAGTTAGGGTTACAGAAAAACTGAGGACCTCAAGACTAGCTGAGCAACTATTAGATCGTTAAAAAACGGTTCTCCATGGAGACAGTTAATGAAGACCAATTTAAAGGGTAATTCAGATGTTTTTAATACAGGTGGTAATTATTATTCAGTTTCATATTAACATACTTGATTCTAGGTTAAAACAGTATAAGAAAGAAATCAATACGGACATACCTGAAGCTTGAAATCTTGCAATCTGTGTTGAGGATTACAAAGCATAACCTGCAGGTCACGACATAAATAATGCATCCTCACATCTGGGGAGAATCCAAGGTTATGCGCCATTGATGTATTCAAGAATTCAAATCATCTCTTCTCATTCAGATGAGAGGTTGAATTTAAGGAAAAGAAGACGTAGAGGAAGGGAGGGAGGCTCTCTTCTGTCAATACTCCACTCCATAGCTGTTTTATAATGCTCACACACACCTGAACTTTGACCTCCTGGCGGCCGCGGGAGATGCTCCCTTGGTTATCCTACGATACTGTATCAACTAAATATGTTTTATAGCATCTTGTGAGATGAACGAATGATCATGTGACGGGAGAGCGGAGGTACAGTTTCTCCTGTCGCTCTATTCGGGTCCAAAACTTAGTTTCTTACTGTAGACAAAGAACACGTATCGACGGTGTCTGAAAACAAAGCGATACAAACAATATTTTAACCTATACAGCACAAAGTAACTGGAAGATTGCGAAATTTAAATAAGATAGATCACATTATTACAGTAAATTAATAAGTGGAAGATATATTTAAGGAGCATATAACATGTGTGAGGGAGACTAAATATGCGAAAACAATTCTGATCAGAAGAATGGAGAGATAACTTAGAAAACCCAGGCGTACATAACAGGATAATAATATTAAAATGGGTATTAAACAAATAGTGTAAAAGGGCTTGAAATGTGTTTACTGATTCAGGACAGAATCCAGAGGAGGGGTTTTGTGAACACTATAATGAACATCCGGATTCTATGATAGCGGAGAATAAGCGTAGCCAGCTAAGAAACTGTGAAGGGTTGAAGGTAAGACTCTGACCTGTTGTAAATGTGAATAACTAATTTTACTCTGACACTTGACGATAATCGTGAAGAATGCCGGTTCGGGTAGATAAAGCCTCATATAAGAGTCGAAGCCTGTACAGTCCAAATGGAAGCCAGGTCTGTTATGACTTGAGCCAGTAAAAGGATTGATCGAGATTGGACCAAACGGGCAAATATGCATCCTTTGTGGTGCACACTCCTGCCGAAACTGTAGCTGATAATAGCCAGCGTCTTTACTGTAGTGACGTGAACTAGCGCGTTCTGGATCGCCCCGACGTAACAGAATGACAGAAGAGACCTTAGCCTGAGTCCGCGCTGGCAACGAAACCCCCTGTACAAGAGGGAATATAAACTTATGTGTCATTATTTTATTTTATAGGCCTGTATGTACCTTTTAGAATCCACCACCAAGATATCAGTTGCAGCCTCCCAGATGCTGATACTTTCATTTCTGGCCAAATAGCAGGTCGCCAATACTACAGCGACGAGCATAACACGACTACTCCAGTGACAGAATGAACCAAATATGAACAACGATCTGTGACCTGAATTTTGAGGTCAGAATTTGTGAAAACTGGTGACAACTCTAAAAGAATGACGGTTCAGTTTGATGATAAGAACTCTGTGAGTCAAGTTCATGAGCAGGAGGAAATCTTTAGTGGTCGGCCGAGAAGCGTTCAATGCCCATGGACTGTAACGTAGGTTGAGGGTAAGAAGTATACAAGTCACTGCATTTAGGGTGACAGAGGACTGAACACTAATGAAACTGCACCTGAAATATGCGTCTGGCGCCCATTTTGGAAGACGCAGTGTAAGATGGCGCTGAACGTTACAACAGGAAGTTGACGTGTTCGAAAAGTGGTCGCCAGACACTGTAAGATAAATGTCTGAACCTGCAAAGTTTGTACGCCTTCTTGTTACGTCGAGACTGACAATAAACTGTCTACCGCAATATGGAGTTTAAATATAACGAGATGGCTGAAGGTCCAAACAAACGTAATGTATTTGTAGTGACGTACTTTGTGAAATTCAAGATATAAAATTATTCTCCGACTGCTCTCGTGTTAAAATTATTGTACAAGTTTAGAATTGACACAGTCGGGCTAATTGGTTTGGATTCTGTGTGGATCGACACATGAATAATTAATATTCTCCGTGATGTATCTGTTTTACCCCTCGAAAGCCTAGGTAACTATGTTTTGTGAAATATGTGTACCACGTGGTTTAAAGATCAGTAACGCTGTATTTTGTATTGATAGGTCTGTGAAAGCCAAAAATAAACAGAGATTTTTGCCTTCAACAGCCTTACCCAGTTGAACTTTTAACGGTGAAGTGTGGTGTTTTCTTTGCGGTACGGACTGATTGCATAAATACTTAGACGAGCTTCGGCTTTAGAGGGTTAACTGAAAAAGCATCAGAAAAACAATTTTTGCACTCGTAATTTGTGCACGTCAGTGAAGAAACAGGTCTGAAGATTTCCGTCTTCTGGGTTGTTGCGCTGTGTAGTCTGGTCGATGTTTACCAACG